CGGATGACGCAGCTGCGGAAGGGGACAGCTTGGGGTCGCCGCCGTCGGAAGCGGCGGAGTCGGCGGGGAAGAGGCGGTCGGAGTCGGAGCGGGCGTCGTCCTTGTCGGAGTAATGCCCGCGGAGAAGACGCCGGCGACGTCGGCGAAGGAAGAGCACGGCGGCGGCGGCAAGGAGACCAAGGGCGAGGAGGGGGAGGAGGACGGCGGCGACGACCGCAGAGCTATGGCGGGGGGGAGGGGCGGAGCGGGAGCCTGGAAAGGTGAGGGAGGATATGTTGGCGGGGAAGGTGGGATGCCCGGAGGCGGGCGTGGGCGGCGGCGGCGGCGACGGGGGTGGGGTGGAGGGGTAGAACGGGAAGAAGGGGGTGGCCGAGGAGGGGTATTTTGGGAAGCCGGAAGGTGACTCCGCCGGAGGAGTGGAAGGAAGCGGGAAAAAAGGAACGTGGAGTGCTCTTCTGCTGTGCATGGGAACGGGCGGTGATGTTGCTGCTGGCGATGCTGATGATGAAGTGGATGGCACTGATGGCATTGTGGTGAGAGAATTGGGAGAAAGAGAAGGAAGAAGAAGTGAAGCAAAAGCAAGGAAGAATTGTGGGAAGTAAGAAGACAGAAGGAGTGCTTTGTGTATGACTTTTGCCTCATGCAATGTCTTTGTTTACAGTAGAGAGCAAAAACGAGTGACAGGTGTGTGTGAAAGAAGACAGAAAGAGAAGAGAAGAAGAAGATGAGAAGCTCAGTCAAGAGAGATAGGTAGAGAGAGAGAGAGGAAATGGACAAGGAATTAAATTAGCTGCTGCTGTGAAAGAAGACAGAAAGAGAAGAGAAGAAGAAGATGAGAAGCTCAGTCAAGAGAGATAGGTAGAGAGAGAGAGAGGAAATGGACAAGGAATAAAATTAGCTGCTGCAGCAGCAGCAGCAATGGCGATGGAAGAGTGGTGTAGAAAGCCCGGCTGGACTCTGAGAAGGGGAGAAGAGTGGAAAAGGTTAGAATGTCTGGTTCAGATGATGCAGAAACAACACACACAGACAAACCATAGTTGGCTTGCATATTGCCATGCTTTTCACATAGGAAAAGTTAAATGCCTTACAATTGTAGGTGAGAAGTCACAGCTGCACAGAGAGAGAGAGAAAGAGGCAAGACTGAGGTGGTCTACTCTCTCTCTGTCTCTCTGTGCATAATTCATGTGGTCTACAGGGGAACTATGATATCCTCTCTGCCATGGTCATCTCCTCCATCTTTTCTAATGCAACTCTCTCTTAAACCATGTTCAAATGCTGTCATTTATAACAAGACAAATAGAGCCTCATCATCCATCACATCCTCTTTATGCATACCATTGCAGCCAACCTTGTAACAACTCCACTTGATCAACACATCATAGGAACACTTGATATCCACTTAAATCTTCCACAAAGAGCTTTCATAGAACTTTCTTCTTGATAGGTTGATGCAATGCATGTCACCAACCTGTTACATATACATATTCTCATGGTAATTAGTCTTTACTTTGCATGACTTCTTTGTGGTTTAAGCTATGAGAACAATCCACAATTTAGTCTCAATAATCTGTTGTAGCACATCACCTGATTGGTGAGATGAGCCAATCAAGTAGACCTCAAATGACACTGACACCTCTATAAAGGTTCAGTTGGGGGTTTCTTTGTAGGTTTCAGGTTGGTAGCAAATCCCTGTCACAAATAACACAATCAATGGAGGATTCAAGGAAATGTATAATTGCCCACAAATAATTGCAGTTTCATATATAAAGAGGATCCCATCTGCTCCACAACATAGTAGAATTTTAAGAAGATTGATAAAGTTCTTCATGCCATGCATAGACTCTTAAGCTCTTTTAAGAAGATGATATCACTTGGAACAAAAGACAGACTCTGATTACAGATTTCATGTGCCATCCATCATGCATGAGAATACTAAAAAGTAGCCAAGTTTGACCTGAGTGTAGACCATTGCCGACACCCTGAAAACATTATCATCACCACTCATAGCTGTTCTTCTGCAAAATGCATTTGAAAATGGCTGTCCTTTGTTTAATCTATTAACATACTTGGTTATATATGATGCATCCTTCCAGAACACAGATGCTATTAGATCAAATTTGTACCCCTACTCGTGAACCCCATGCATTTTTTCCCATCTAAATTGTTTCCCAGCTTTGATGGCACATAACATTAGTAAGATTTTTGTCAACCTGCTGCAATACAAAGCAAATTTCAGATTGGACTTTGAACTGTTCATCTTCTATTTAGTCTTTTTGCACTTCAAGCAATTGCCAATGCAACATCATCTTGTTATATGATCTGTCATTAAGCTGTATGTACTAGTCAGAATGATGCCCATGCAGTTGTCAACATGATTAAGATAAATCCATTCCACTTTATACTACTCACAACCTTACTTGTTCCCTGACAGATACTTCAGCTTGGTGGACCTAAATCATTGAGGATCCTTGAGAACACACACACATGGGGTGTATATATAACAAATGTCAAGAATGAGTCACTCTGAATGATAGAAAAAGGAACTGACAGACAACATAAGCTGACTCAGTAATAACTATGGAGGCAAGGAGGAGGAGGAGGAAGAGGAGCAATGCATTCATGCTTCAGATGAGTACAAACTATTGCAGAAACACACACAGTGTTGAGAACATTCCACATGGACAGTTTGTTCAGGTTTTCTTATTAATGGTTCCATACAAACAACAACTGAGCATGCAGATGCAGTCTTCCAACCACTGAGCACTTCATTGTCATGACATGCAATGAGGATTTGCACAGGAGCAAAGAGCAAAGAGTTTGAGATATAAGTGCAGACTCTTAAGAATTGATATGAGCAGCTTAAAAGATTTGGTACTCATCATCAACCTTAACAATGCATTTAAGTTCTAAGTGCTGCTCACAGAACTTTGCTTGTTCTCCAAAGAGTAGAAGGATTCTTATGGCCGACACAAAGGCTAAAGGAGATCACTTTTTCTGTGATCTGCTACCTATGGTCTTTTATCACTTCCTTTTTTGCAGGATCACAAGAATAAGATTTCTGGGCCACTGAGCATGAAGCATCTGCAAGGAAACAAATCTCTTCAGATGCATTGATGCTCACAAACTATGAATAAATGGCAACTTTTTTCTAATGGGCAGTGTACAGTAATTGCACTGTGACATGTGGGTTATGACAAAAGTACAAAGGAGCTGCTCTTCCTTTTTCCTCCTCTTTCTTTCTTGCAGGAGAACAACAAAGTCCCTCATCATTAGTTTTGCAGTGCAACCTTGATCTGATTATGTGTGGATCCATTTGTTTTGGAGTTGCTGCTGCTGGTGATGAATGTTGGTGAACTGATGGTGCTGTGGCCGAGGATTCAATATGATTTAGTCGACGGGTCGATATCGAGAGTTCTCGATTGATTGGAAGAAGTGTTGGAGCTAGCTGGATCGAAGGTCGGGACGTCGTCTTCTACGAGGCATCTCTTGGTTGGTTGATAGAAGTGCTAAAGCCGACTGTATCAGGAGATCGGGACAATGATGTTGTCTCCTGGCAAAGCATCTCTCGGTCGGGACGACGGAGCCTCCGGGGGGTGGTCGAGCTCTTGCACAAAGGTCTTCTTCGGGGGTTTTCGACTTTGTCTCCTCGTAGATTAAGTTAGTGGTCGCTTTTGCCTCTTCTTTTTTCTGTCTCCTAGATAGATGCCGGTCATGGGCTTTTATACGGTTGCGCGAGGATCGATCGTACGCGGATTTATCACGACGATCGATCCTCGAGCGACGAGATAGAACCATTGTTCGACCGTCGCCTGGTATGTACGGAACGGTGCCATACGACGTCATCCCGAGCTTTCCGAGATGGGACTTGCCGAGGGGGTGTCTCCCTGTACGAGTCTCGGCTCGACGCAGGGGAGCGCCCCTTGTGCTGACTTGGCATGAGTGTGATGTAATGCGGATCGTGACATGGCTGAAATCCAAAATATACCGAAGATTTAGAACAGTCTACTAGAAAAAAAAAAAAAAAAAAGATTGCATTTTTCTGATGCAAGCACACCCTGTTCTTTATCAGGTAGGATAAGGTTATATGCTCTGCTGCATGCAGGAACTGGTTCTTATCATCTTACACCTGTTTGATTCATTTCATCTCCAAAGGATTCTTCCCAGTCTTGTTGTTCTAGGATGGCCCCAAACCTCAAAACTACAAGTTGATTTCCCTTATTAAAGCTTATAAATATATTAGATAATTTTCAGGTGATTTAAGTTTTATGGATTATCGTTCATCCAATAAAAATATATTTATAATGGTATGAAAGCATATCATAAGTTCAGATGAGGTTATTGATCATCTAATCAAAATCTTTATTAGATATTTAGTGTTATATATTAGATAGTAATTGGGGGAAAATATACTATTTCCGACAACCTACCTACTTTGGGAAGAAGCTGCGTCATGAGTGGAGCCCACCGGGACCCTGCTGTTTCATCCGATATAAAGTAGGTACGGAACGGGTATCTGATCGCATCTTTGGTTTCCATTGTTAATGGTGCACGGCGAGCGGTCATAGTCTACTCGTACTGGGAAGAAGACACTGAGTGATAACTGGGGCCCATCTGGCTCGTCGGCTTCGTCCAATCACAAAGCAGGTAAATCAGCAACAAAACTTAAGAAAGTATGTCTCCGAGGTAACAACGCGTTGCCACGGAAGAAGCCGCGTCATAACCGGGCCCACCGGACTTCGTCCAATAATAAAGCAGGTATATTTTCGGAGAAACTAAAATGCGTCTTTTTTCTCGGGGCACTTTCTATTCGATTGTTTGGTACAGTAGATAGTCGTCATCTACCTCTCTTCGTACGCGACTTTTGGTTGGGCCCCGCGCCTTCTTCCAATCACGAAGCAGGTATGTTAGGTAACACACAACTATACCGCAAGTCTATTGGAGCTTTCTTCTATTCTGATCTATTATAACTAATTCCCGTATTAGGGGAGCCCAATCAGCCGTCGAACCATTGGGAGAAAGACGAGAGAGAGAGAGAGAGAGGCGATGGCGTGTGTGATGAGGCTTCTCGGTCTCCTCTTCGTCCTCGTCTGCTCGCTTTCGCTTCCCCTCCCTTCTTTCCACAGTGTCGTGGCAACGGGGCAACGGGAGTTCGATTACTTCGTGCTGGCGCTGCTGTGGCCGGGCACCATCTGCCAGGCCACCCACCATTGCTGCTCCTCCAACGCCTGCTGCAGGTGATCCGTTCGGTTATCCCTCTTTGAGAATTGATCGGCCGATTTGGCCTTTCTTTCCAATTCTTGGTTTGAGAGTTCGGTCGATCATGCTATGATCCTTGATTGTTTGTGTTTTCGCCGCCATCTTCATCTGTTGGGGTTTCTTGATCTTGTTGCCGTCCAGATTAGATTATTTCTTTATGTCGAATTCTTTATTCTGTTTCATGTTTGAAAGACGGGAAGAATATTGCGCTGATTGCATCTTTATCTTGATTTTGCAGATCAAACCCTTTGCCCGAGTTTACGATCCGTAAGTATTTGCTTCTCTTGGTGACTTTCTTTCATTAGTCTTCCTTCTTGATTTCTTGAGTGTTTCTTCTTTTGGTAATCGAACGAAGGGTTTAGCCTTTGTTCACTCATCAACCTCCAAATTATTTATGATGGTGTCTGGTGCATGACGAGGATGAGCTAATACTACCATGTAGGAAGCTGTCACGAATTGCCTTCGGTCATTAATTGAGAAATGTTGCAAGAATGAAATGAAATATGCTCGATGACTTCTAATGCAGCTGGAAGAGGCCAATGGGTGTTTAAATTTCCACTATCTTTATACCTTTTTTCCCCTCTTGTCTGTTTGTAGGACAATCTGAAGTAGATCTTTGTTCTGAAGGGGGCTTAATGAGGTGAATATGGTGAAAATACTACTGTCTTACTTGTGCAGTCATTCAAGATTAGATGCTCAGTAGATGATGTAATATGTGAAGTTCCTTATAACCATGAGTCTCTCTTTAGGGATGCATGATTGTTCCTCAATTTAGGATGTAGGATCTGTCCATCCCATGTGGTAATGAACTTAGCCAGAATACCCAACAAATGTTCATTGCTCCTGCACGTCAGCTTGACTCTCTTCAAAACAAGTAGACCCATCTTGGAGACCGAGGGTTATTTTGGTCATCTCCTCTGATGAATTTAAAGTATACCTGGTTTATAGAAAAGGACTTTTACATGTATCCATTGAAGTTAGAGTTTACTGGATCTGTGGAGGAAAATCAAAGTACACATGATCAGATAGAATGACATAATGGACTTTGAATTATTGGGGGTGGAAGATTTTGTTGCTTCTAATGTTATTAGAACCAGATGGCATGAAAGGATTAATATAGTTTATCTTATAAACCTGGGAATAAAAAGATTGTTTCTAAAGTTCTAATAGTCGAAAAATCAAGTTATCATCCTTGGTTTTCCTGCTTGCGATGTATTCTGGATTCCTTGTTACATCAGGATGTTTGACCATGTCAATCTCCTGTGCTTCACCTAGCCTCTGCCATCTTTGTTGGACAGAGGTTGTTGTGCACTTTTTCCAAGTGCCATTGTTAAGGTTAATGAGCATACGAGTCACGCTGATAGAGCCTGGTGATTTATGTTGCCCCACTGACATCTATCTGGTTCATGGTGAACCTTTGGTAACAACTATCTTTTGGACATCAGAAACCACTTGAATTTTTTATCATACACAACTTGCAGTTTAGTGTGACTGAAAATATATTCTGTTGCATATATTGACCTTTCCTACACCCTAGTTGGATGGAATCTCATGCACTAAGCCTCCGTTTTCTTTGTGGAAGATGTTAGCCAAACCATTGTAGATTGCTGACGGGGTTTCTTAGGACAAAGTTTCTGTTATTATGAATTTATGTTGTTTTGCTTCAAATTTTTGGAGCTTATTGCTAAAATGAGATATCCTTAGGAAAGAAGTTAGGTCCGAGTTTTGGATGGAATCTCAATGGCTTTGGCTGAATTATTTATAAGTTACCATTATTGATGGTAGAAGCATTGTGAATATCTATTCCATGGGAGGGCTGGTGACTAAATTAGACGTTGTTTTATTATTAAAATTGAGATGCAAATTATAAAGATTTCCTATTTGTTCATGAGTCTGGCATTGTATATCTACTACTAAATGGTAGTTTAGTTTAATTGAGAAGATAAGGAGGGAGAAGGAAAATGCATGGCTTGTGATCAGTAGGATGGAGATAATAATTAGAGTTGATCAGGCAAAATTTTTATTTAAATATTTCTGACCAGTCAATCATGATAACCTACTCTCTTCAGTATAGACTGCCCAAGTATGTTCATAGGGTGTATCAGGATATGGTCATTACAACAATTATACTAGTCTTCTTTCATAATCTCTTTGTCCTATGCACGAATATTGCAATGCCCTATTACAATTATGTGGTCAAATAAATTTGATATTTATGACCAAAAACTGATCATTTCTTTATTTAACATCACAATTATCAGTTTTTAAATGATTTTTAATATTGTAATGATTGTCATGCCTTAGATGACTAAGATATTGATTAATCCATTCCTGATCAGAAAAAGAGACCCAACCTTGCAGTTATCATTTCAATTGTGAAATATGGTTCTTATCGTATTCTTCCGCATATTTCATATGCACAAAAAGATACAGAAACACTACTTTTGCTTTGACTTATGAAGCAACACAAGGAATTGTTATATTGTATTATTATTATGAAGTAATTTTGCATTTCATGTAATTTGGACTAGTTTGTTATTTTAAACCCTATGACAGACGGACTGTGGACTGACTATAATGATGGGAGCTGGCCGGCATGTTGCAGCCACTCTGATTTTGATATAAAAAAGGTGCTTAGATTCACTGATTGTTGATATTCTGTATTTTAGAGCCAGTATTTCTCTTCCTCTATTTGGATTTAGCTATATGTATCATAGTTTATCTTTTTGTTCCGATAACACAGATTACCTCGTTGTTACCAACTCTTGAGAAGTATTGGCCATCCTTATACTGCAGTTCTTCATCTCTTTGCTTCGGTGGAAAGGGATTGTTTTGGGCACATGAGGTAGGAGCTATTTTCTGGAATTTGTAATTGATTCTTGCTAATTTTTACAATGTATAACCTATATCCCTTTTTTTTCTGCATGTGCTTATTCATGTTTGGATCTGGACAGTGGGGTAAGATCCTTACTTTCTTTCTTCTTTAACCTTTGTTATCATAGACCAACTTCCTTACTAGGGAAGAAAATAATACAAATATTGTTGCATGTATATATATATATATATATATATATATATTTCGAATACATGCAATTTAAACCAAATTGTCAGAGAGTTATATGCTCTTTCCTATCTCTGGATGTTATAACTTTAAAACTACACAAAAAAACGGAGGTATCGGGAAACAAAAATAATATACGGAAAACTGCAATTATGAGGTGGGATTAAAAAAAGATTAATTTTCAAGAGAAGTTTCTCGGTGGCGATATAAAGATTTGGATAGCCCATTAAAATTGCAGCTTGGCCAAAATGTACATTTGGGTTGGGTCAATGTGCTGGGTAAATGAGGCCAAGCTGTACAAAAACTTTGGATCCTAACCACTTCAAGTTGGTTCCAAGTCAAGCATCCCATACTAGTATTAAGCTAGGACCGATATTGGCTTAATACATGTGTTGCAAGAGTGGTCCAGAGGCTTTGACCAATGCAAGGTCAGGAGAAGATAAATTTACTTAGTTTATCTCAAGCAGAGAGGTTGTTTTTATGGCTAAACCCATGCCTCTATAATACATTATAGAAGTTATGTAAAGAACAGTTAGTATCTAAATTAAAATGGAATAAATTTCATAAGATCACTCTAGTCCAAGGTCATTATTCATTGTTTTGCTTGCAGCCATTAATTTCTACAATGAGGGCACAATTGCCAAACATTTTAGAGAAATCAAGAGCTAACTTCTGCAATTCTAGGGTCAGATCTTCAGATTCACTAGGTTCTAATGCTTGAAATTGCATGTGAAGAAAGCTAAAAGAAACTAGGGTGGAAAAGGGCAGTCTAGAAATGCCAATTTGGAGAGGATGAATGTACATAACCTTACCATAAATGAAAACATGATTTGGCTTTTCTAAATGATCTAACATTATAGTTTGTGGTTGACAAAATGGTTTTTGTATATTATCTACAATTCTTTCATTCTTCCATATGCATTTGGTTTGCAGAGAAACATGGGACTTGTTCCTACCCCATAATACAGGATGAATACAGCTACTTCTCCACAGCTCTTGGTTTGTACTTCAAAAACAACATGACGGTAAGTATGTGGGATCTTGTAAAAACACAACTGCATCATATGATCGAAATGTTTTTTTTTTTACTTACATTTTATATAAAATTAAACAAATTTGTGTACTGGATTTTTTTTTCTTCCATTTGTTTCTTTTTTACATATATCAGAAGTCATAATTATGTTACTTATTCTCCTTTTTCATTATTTTCAAAATATGCTGTCTAAAGTTGAAATAACATAATTATCTTTATTTTGGTAAATCACACTTTTGGCCTGCACCTAGTTTGGCAAACATCCCGCTCGTCACAAGCCCTTTCTTAAGGAACTTTTATTTGAAATATATGCTATGGAAATTCATTTAGTAAGTGGTACGTTTGCTTTGGCAGGAGGTTCTTAATAATGCTGGTATTCTGGCAACTAACGGAGAAAAATATCCATTAGGGGATGTTGTAGCCACCATTAAAAGGGCCTTTGGAGCAACACCATTGCTGGTCTGCAAGCATGGTTCACTGGAAGAACTCAGATTGTGCTTTTACAAGGATTATAAGGTACGTACGTACGCATGCCAAACCGTGTTTACCTACCTACCACATATATATTTAGATAAATTGCCTTCTTTGTTGATACCTTTTTCAGCCTAGGGACTGTGTGACCGGATCTGACATCTTGAATGGCATGCCACACTCGAGAAACTCCTGCCCTCGATACATTACCTTACCAACATATGCTCCTCTTGGTGTGCCAACAATTTCTTCTTATATCAGCTTGTACGATCGATCATAGGGCATATATAACTCGTTTGCCCTTTGATTCAATTCGCAGGGCTTGCTGATAGCAGTAAAATGGCGTTGGAAGCATTTGACGCACTCACTGTGGCTTAGAGGGTATATGTATGTATGTATGACATAGGAAGAAAGTTGGGACTATAATGCGATATGAAAGGCGCATATGATATAAAATATTCAAATACTGATAATATTCAAAGTCCCCACTCTGCAACGGCAAAAATAATATGGAAAGCATCTGCACTTTGCCTCACCGAGTCTGTCTGTGGCACAACCCAGCAGCATGCCATGCACCTTTAAACTTTCCGCATGTTGTTTTGGAGGATAAGTAGGCACACACAATGGTTGTATAGCCCTCGAAATAATGAACGTACAAACCCGCTAGATGCCAGTAAAGCATTCCATTTCTGCGGATCTTATCTTTTTAGGGCAAGGAGATGAATGTAAAAACACCGGTCATTTGTCAGAAGGATTCCAAATTCACAACTCATGTGGCCCTACAATCCCATCCCCCACCTAGATGATTATCTTCGACCTGAATACAAATAACGAGATGTTACGGGGCATACCCGAAGAGTCTGTAGTCTAGAGATTTAACGAATTTAAATGACAAATGGACTCAGCGCAAAGCAAATCACCTGCATACCGAAATTGACAGTCCATGAACACCGTCATCGTTGAATTTAAATGACAGACGGACTCAGCGCAAAGCAAATCACCTGCATAGCAAAATTGACAGTCCGTGAATGCCGCACGCTGCTTGCCAAAATTGACCTGCAAAATAAATCTATAGCTGTAGGAAGAAAGGAACCAAGAAAGAAAAGAATCTCTATCGAGTATGAGAAAGGGTATGATGATGTAACAATGTCAAATCGAAGTAGTCATTTACCACTTTGTAACCCAACATCTAAAATTTGATTTTTAACACTGGAAGATCAACACTTGGAGTAAATCCACTTCGTCCAGGTTTTAAAGCAGTGCCTAGAGAGATGCTCAGGCAAATCAGCCTGCATGACAAGCATAAACCAAAAATAAGATAAACATGAGAACAATGAAATGCAAAATTCAAACAAAGATCAACAATAACATAAGACCTCTTTTGATGATTGGTCAAAATTAACATCAAAACTGTGAACCTTCAAAGGATGGATCTGCGTATACAAAACTATAAAATAAAAGTAACTTGCAATGGACCAAATATATTGATAGCTCAAATCAAATTATATATACCGACAGCAAATAACACACACCATAATTGCTCTGTTGATCTGTTTATACTGTATTCTATACCAAATAGGTAATATTGCATTGAATAATCCAAGCAAAAAAATATTTAACAATTATCAAATATTTAAAAATTATTTGATCAAGGTATCGAAAAGGTCATGATGGAAAACTATTTCACAATTATCAATTATTTATCTATTTCACATGACACCAAAATGAAAAAGAACATAATATGGGCTTCTGAGTAATCAGACGAGAAAAAATTATGCAATAACCATGACATCTTGAGCAGAATACATAATATTATAATTGTTGGTGATTCACCAGATATTGCATGTGAAATAGGAGGATAAAACACAATAAGAGTTTTGGTATGATCAAGGCAGTAGAATGATTGTGATGCAAAAATAAGGAAGCATGAGAAGATACCACTCTTAACCCAAATTAGACACCCCAATTATGTCTGGCTGCATGTTTTTTACTAGGCTGGCCAGAATGTCATTGTAATCAGCCTTGTAAAGTATTATACCATGGGTCAACCCTAGCGATAGGCCAACTTGCCAAAACATGGGATCCGGATGACCTTCCAGTGCTAGGTCAGCAGGCAATCAACTTAAAATTTGCCAGGACAGCAGCTGCACTGATTTGGAAGGTTCTACAGATAGAATTCAACTTCAAAAAAGGAATCCTGCACATGATAGAAAAGTGTGCAACCCTGTTGGACATTGGATTAGACCGGAAGGCTGAATAAAACAAGGAAAGCAACTCTGCCTTTGAAAGGAGGGGAAGATAGAACAAGAAACCAATCTTTATCAAACAAGACCCTATTGGCAGAGAAACACGAGTCAGCAGCTGTTGTGTGAAAGCTGGAACAAGAGGCCCCCGAGGTTTCATGTCTCTCATCTCCGTGGAATTCTACAAATGGGACTATAGGCACAACTCAGGGTTTGATCAAATTAAAAGAAAGGATGGAATCAGAAGCTCTATTCTGTGTTCCAAGATAAATTGTATCTTTTCATGCGTTAACATAATCTCTCTCCATCTCCTGCATCAGTTTCTCCATTTCTATGATAAGCCACATGCCACATGCCACTCTCCACCTAACATCCAGTTTGCTAATCAGGAATTTCAACCCACAAACTAGTTTTCATTTCATCAAGGATGATCAACAATCGCCCCTCATCAGCCTCAAAGATTAGGCAAGAATCAAGGAAAATACAATTGAATGTGTGTATCTAACATGGGATAGGTGGAAAACAACATCAGGCATAGACAAAGAACCACAATGATTCCAGGATGGTTCCAAATGTTTGAGGGTTCTATAAAATGCGACTACAATTTATTAAAATAAGGTTCAAAAGAAAGTTATTCAAAAGCATTGCCCACTAATTAGTGAGGGGAAAACACAAAGAAAAAATAACAAACCAGAAACACATGACTTCAGATATGCTTTCAGATCTACTTTTCCCGTAAGGTATGGCAGCATAAGGCAAACTGAACATAATACTGACTGTTAAGAGTAACTAAATAAAATTTCTGAAGCCTAAAATGAAAATTTTACATGTTATGATTTTGTCAAGTCATGAGAGTTTGAACCAACTTCACTATAATCTGATAACACACAATTTGAATTCCACTAACTATAAATTTGAAAACTGTTCGGAAACCATGAAGGACTAAACAGTGTTAGCAGCAAACTGTCTAATATATCATTGCGGTTTGAAGAAAACATTGATAAAGCCTACTATTTAAATGAAAGAAAGTTAAATATACATACAATATTCCATGCACAAGAAAAGCCATCTGTTGAAAGAAACCAACTCCTTCCTGCCTGCAAACCTTGCCATGCGTTGGTTTGTTCAATCTCAATCTCATCCGAACTGTTATAATCACGATGATACTTTTTCCTCCTTTTCTTCCTGTCCCTCCTACACATTTTTTTACCACCACTTGCCCAACCTTCAACATCACTATCGAGATTAGATTCTCTAATTCCATCAGCTTGTATCAAAGAATAGTCATCAGCCTTCTGAAAATGTATTCCATTAGTTTTAAATAGAATTTCCCATGATTGTGCTGTCATGCATTCTCTCGCCAACAAATAGTGAAGAACCCAAGAGAGCTGCCCAACCACTTTTATAGCCACCTGCTGCTTCATATTTACACATTCTTTTATAAGAGCCCAATGGTCTGCGTCACTAAGGGTCACTTTGGATTTCAAAATTGTGTCTACCTTTCCCTTCTCTTCCTCATGTTCTTCATCAGCCAAAAGGCGTACAAGCTGCCTGCCCTTACCAATAACAGCATTTAATAAGAGAAGTTCATCAAGAGATATTTGGTCATCGCATGTTGCCAAAAGATTCTCGAGCCAACAAGATGCATATCCAAAATCCTGGCACTGACCACTCAAATGAATGCATTTTCTGATGGATTTCAAGAACAATAGGAGCCTATCTTCATCAAGCAGAATGAGAAGATTTTGTGAAAGTGAGGAGAAATTCTCCTCCAGTATAAACTCTTCAATTGCTGCCCATATATCTTCTAAATCTTCTTTGTACATCAATCCTACAAACTGTTCTACAAAATATTTGGAATCAAGCTTCAGGATCTCACCATCTTTAACTGACTCTGCAAGTTCACTGGAGGACCAAAAATCAGGAACATACTCAAGAAAATTCTCTATGGTCTGCAGAATATCCAGATCCTGGAAGTAATGAGGCTTTGTGGCAACAACCGCAGGTGATTGCCCATGCTTTCCCTTCCACTCAAGCTCCTCCCAGCAAACATCCCGATTTGCAAAAGCATACAGGGACAGTGCCCTAGCTCCTTTTTGATGTCCTGATTCACCGACGCCAGCGAAATTATCAAACCAGAGGAAGATGCGCCTCGGGTTTCCTGTGCATTGTAAAACCGCATACAAGAGTAAATCAGACACCAATATCAGATTTATCATAACTGCTATCAAATATAAGCCAATGAGATAAAAGTCAGTGCAGTACCAGATTGTTATTTTAATCAGACAAAATATCCCAAAGTCAATATTTTGAGCCTATGAGAATACCACCGTAGTCCATTTATTACATGAATGCACTATATAACCCGAACAAGAAGTGAATTTTATGACAAAGATGAAACAAAATGTGAGATCACCAGATACAGGTAACAATTACCTTGAAAGAACTTCTCCAGCAAGTAGCACCGCTTCGCGAGGATACGCCCAGCCTTCTGTGGCCGCTTCTCAAAGATCATCTGCAGAAGCCGAGGAGCCACATCCAGCTTGGACCGCTCGGATCTGAGGAGCTCCATGAATAGGTGGAGCTGGTCCCTTGCGGCGATGGAGTGGATAGAGGAGACGGTGTTGCAGAGCCAGAGGCGGGCCTCGTACCGGCCGCAGGAGGAGATAACTGACCAAAGAACCGACTCGATGTTCCGGAGGAGAGAGAGCGTCGCCTCCACGGCGTCTCTGTTCCCCCCACCAACGCCATCGTCACCGTCCGATGGTGGCGGCGGTGGCTTCTGCAAGAACAGTCGAAGCATCGCCAGATCAGGAACTCCGATTTCTTGAACCCAACAAAGAAAGAAGTTCTTGGCGTGCCCTAACGGAGAAGTGGGGGTATGAAGGGGAACGAAGACCTCAAGTTTCAAGTAGAATCTTTTGGAGGGAGGTAGAAATAAGGGGAAAAAAGGAACTCCGCGATGGCGGATGGCGGCGGAGGCTCCTGCAAGAACCTTCGATTTTTTGAACCCTACGAAGAAGTTCTTGCCGTACCCTAATGGAGGAAGGGGGACCTAAACCTCAAGTTTCAAGTAGAATCTGTTGGACGGAGGTAACAAGAAGGGAGGAACGGAGCTCCGAGGTGGCGGATGGCAGCGGCGGTGGATTCTGCAAATCGAAGCATCACCAGATCAGGAACTCCAATTTCTTGAACCCAATGAAGAAATTCGCGGCGCGGAGGAAAGGGGGAAAAGAAGGGAGACCAAAACCTCAAGTTTCAAGTAGAGTCTTCTCGAGGAAGGCAGAAAGAAGGGAGAAAACGAAATTTGGGATGGCGGATGGCAGCAGCGGTGGCTTCTGAAAGAACAATCGAAGCATCGCCAGATCAGGAACCCAACAAAAACTATGCTCACGCCGTCGAGGAAGGGGGAGATAAGTATTCAACGGAGATATAAAGAACGGAGGAAAGAAAGGGAGGAAAGAAAGGGAAGGGGAAGGGGAAGGGGAAGGCGGGGGGAGAGGACGGAGGCGGTGTTCATGTGCCTCCGACGCGTCAAATAAACCAGAAAAAGAGTTTCTTGTCCGAATCGCATATCTGCAATCACAGCCGTCTAAACACGTCTAGATGCGCGCATCAGATTCATGATGATCATAATTAACTGTTGGTTAGATCCCGATGGGAACTGACCGTACGAGGACCCGAGTCGAATCCCCTCAAGCGCAGCGTTCGTATGCCATGGGATCAACCCAGCAGCCGTTGGAGTATCTGAAAGGATACGATACCGAAACCAAGAAGCAGCATAAAAAGGAACCAGCGATCATCCCACAGCACAGAAGATAGTTTTTCAAGGTTGACAATTTCCGACAACAACTTACTAAACCAAATTAGAGTCCGATTGTCAATTGTACGTTCGGGGTAATGTGGATTAAACCAACAAAACTTTGCTCAACACCAGAGAGTCGTATGCAACAAGACGAGTATGGATGACCGCAGCTACGATACAAAGATAGCACTTCAATAAATAAATAAAAAAATGTTCACTAGTCATCTTCCTCATCATCGTCAGAATCAGCACCGGCAGATGCATTAAGGGCGTTCAATCGTTCAATAAGTTTAGCCTTCCTTTCCTCGTAAGTGAGCTTCTTCAGGTTATATCTGCAAAAGCAACACAAATTGATCAGGATGAAGTTGAGTGTGTCCTAACAACGATGATATTTTGTTAACCGAATGTGACTAGTTAGTGTCTACCGCTTATGCTCCTTTGGTGGTGGTTTTGTGGATTTCACTGCTATTGGATCTGCACGAATGGCAGCATGAACTTTCTTGTACATCTCTTCCATGTCATCAGGATCAATTCCTTTCTTGATATATTCACTAAAGTGTGCCTGGTACTTTTCTGGCTCATCCTCCATTAATGTCTAAGAGAGGAAGGAATAAAAGGTCAAGATAAGCAACAATCACCAATGATAAAACATCCACTGAGAATCTGTAATATGCTTCGAAGCAACACATTTAAAAATTTTAGAAATGCAGAGAGAATAAACAAGGACCAGTAGATATGTTTCCAAGAATGAACCATATATACTGAACCAACGAAGAGAGAGAGAGAGAGAGAGTGTGTGTTTGTGTATACACATGCATGCCTGGGCATGTGTGACACGCATCGATACATATATATAACTGAGTAATATGTTTGTTTGTCTATATGTGTATGCATGTAGTGAGTTGATAGTATTAGCATGAGTATCACATTAATTTAAATTCACAGGCAAAAATAACAGGGCAGCGAAAAGTATCCAACCTTCATGTATGAAGCAACATGACCACCAAAGATGTATTTCCTGTGAACCTCTGCATCAAGTTGTTTCTCATCCTTCTTAAAACCTGCAAACCTCTTGTCACTATGAGGGATATCAAGTCCACCATCCAATGCTCCCTACATTCACAAATACAATGAATCCATAAAATATTAGTATCACCTATCAATCACTAACAGTAGAAAATTACTATAAAAGAAAAAGAAGAGGAACCAAAAGTCACATACTTTTGGAAACTTATTGGCACTGTGAATAAATCCCAAGCCAAATAAAGATGAAGACACAAAAATAATTGACAACATATGTCATGCATTTGCTTCCAATTTGTCATGCTAAGAATTGAATGAAAATGAATAGGAAGCAAGAACATATCAGGGAACATCATATGCATTGAAGAGGCCAAAGCAAAAGCAAGGTAAGACTTATTCTCGATGGACATAAAAGAAGAAGCACATAATGATATTTTTCATACAATGAAAACAAAGTGGAAATAATTCCAATTGTACATATGCCAGCCATGGTACCAAGAAAATTATGGTAACACAAGTAGGTGAAATACAAATCCCAAATAGGTTATAAGTAACTGATTTGAACATGCACAGGACTGCAGTGCAGATTTTAATCACATTGTAGCAACAAGACGACTTCAAATTCACCTATGTGATCAGTTATCATATAAAGTCACCCAGTTTTGCAACGGTGCCCAATCAATATCAGCATCATTGCTACCAAGGATTATGCTTCAGTGTATATCAGCCACATTGGACAAGAAATTCATGCTGATGAAGAAAAGTGACCAATTCATGGGTATCTAGATTTAAGTACTTGCAAGAAATTTATCAAGAAACTATCAACAAAACCTAGGGAGTACAAAAAGGAGGCTGCAAGGAAGGGTTTAAGAATCCCAAAAAAAAAACCATGACTAAGAAGGGGCAGCAGCAGCAACTCCTCTTAACCAGACAAGAGGCCCAAGGGGTTCAAGGCTTCAACTTATGGAAACCATGGCCTTAATATTTAGGTTTTGAAACCTTCAATAGAGTCTTGGCTCACAACTAGAACATTGACCATGACCACAGCTTCACAGATGTAAAACAAGAGAGGAGAGTCCAGATTAGATATCTTCTTTTTTAACATAAAATAACAATTTCTTTCATTATCATGACACAAGTCACACAACAGTATTGTATCAAACAAAACAGATAGATGGACATAATGTCACATGCAGCACTCAAATCTATGAACAATTATGAGTTATCAAAGCAAAGAAGCATCCTATGGTAGGAAAAAAAACAGAAGTTTAGAAGCTTAAAAGCACATTAAAATTTACAAAATACTAAAGCTAAAAGAACTTAACATTGAAAAAGCAATATACCTTAAGAGCACCAAATACTCGGTTGCCTGTTGTTGTCCTCAGAAGGCCAACATCAAGTAGAGCACGAAAAGGCCTTCTGCTCTCACCAGGTTCAACAGAAAAGTCCTCTCCAGTGGCCTGACAAAGACATACAAGTTATGCAGAAGATGTCCATCAAAAGTGGCAAAACGATATCACCATAAAATACAGAAGTAGTACCTCTACATTTCCCTGGTATTCTTCATCCATTTCAAGCATCTTCAGAACGCGTCGTGCCAAGAGAAGTCCAGTGCAATAGGCTAACCAGCAGCAAAAATGATTTTTCACCAATAAAGTACATTCTTAAACAAGAAACAAGCCAGTAGAGAATTACCTGCAGCATAATTAGTAAGACCAGCTTCAAGCCCATAGTGGGGGAGTTCATGAGCATATGCAGATGCAAGAACCAGATCACCAGCAATGCTTGCAGATATTATTTGTGCAGCAATATCTTTGTTAGTCTAGCCACATATCTTATTAAGCATCAAACAAAAATTGCCACTGATAAGTTTAAGAAAAGGCAAAAAGAAATATTAGCAACAACTTCCTAGGATACAAATCGAACAACAAATCGGTATTTAGGTGTGTTGTATTTGTTCTTGTCCTGGTTAATAAGCCTGATCCTTGCACGATAATCAGTTTTCCCCACTGCACACTCGAGAAATATATATTAACTAACCAACAGCAGTCTGATAAGCAAAAAATATAGGAATATAAAATAATACCTCTTCTTCTCTTGTACTTAACTTGATAACGCTTGAAGTAAGCCTTGGTCTTCTGACTTTTGACGAAGGCCTGAAAAATTAAAAATATTGTTGTACTCAGTTAACAGATTTAAAGCCCTTCACTAACAAACAAAACATTAAATAATTCAACCAGAATTATGTAAAAACCAGTAAAACTATTTAAAACTATAAAGAGAATATCAAACAACCTAGAAGTCCAAGTAACAGAAGATGAGGAATAAAAATATAGAAAACCTAGTGAAATCAAAAGGTAAATGAAAGAATATATTGAGACAACAAGACATGAAGTTAGGGGTTAAATCCTACAATATAACCTCTTGCATCATGCAGTATAAGAAAACTGCTCGCAATCTTTTTTTTTTTTCACCAACAAGATAAATAAGTAAAACTATGAAGCTACCATAAACTTGGATTGGCCTTCTATGACAAAAAAATTAGCAATGATAACAGCAGTTCATCATCGAATAGGTAAAAAAAAGAAACAGAACAATTTACCGTGGTAGCTGTGGTGCGGAGTTTCAAAAGCTTATGGCTCACAGGTCAAAAAAGAGCCAATAGTGGTATAGTAAGCTTTGTATAAACATAACAACCATGATTTCTACAAACTAATTATGGTGATACACATAGCAGAGAACACCACAAGTTTGTACTAGAATCACGAGAAATAATTTTTCGATGCCTAACAACCAAATAGAATACAGTATATAAAAAGTAGCCATATGAGATACTAAAAAAGAAAATTCATAGCAAATTTGAACTGAACTTCACTATTCATAAACAATTTTTAGTATATCCATCACCTACGAAAGTCACCCAGCGTTTTACTGGTATAACCAGAACAGGAATCATAAATAATCAAAATCAACCATATCTTGTGAAGAAAGGGCCAAAGATTAAAACAGCAATCACTTGCATCCTTCCAAATACAAATGCAGAGACTAAACATGCCATACAGAGGACCATAGACTACGAAACTGTACCATAGTAAATAAACAACATAGACCAATCTCCTCCCCCAAAAAATTTCGAGACTTATAATCCAAGAAAGCGAATTACGATCAGTAAAGCTAAGAGATGGGAGCGACAGAGATAGACATCCAGCAGCCTGACGCACAAAGTAGACGCAATTGCACAAGCAAATACAAATCGCCAATGAACTACTGAAAGCCCTACAACCGATCGCGATGTGGGGACTGCTAACGCATCGAAGAAAAATAGCCAAATAGTTCCCGTTCGAGATCTCCAATGTTCGGAACAAAGTCACGGATCTAGGGAGAAATAGCGACGAAGGTAGACCGAAAGGATTGAGATCGATTCTAGGTGAGTAGATCCATGACCGTAGACAAAGTGGAAGAAGAGTTGAGGCCATCTCACCATCCCAACCGCACTCCTCCTCCCTCGCTGCTGCTGCTGCGGGTGTGCTCGCGGCGTCGAAGCGGAGCGAAGGGTTTATAGGGAGGTCGCCTTTCGGGTTCATTAGCAACCCTAGCAGCTACCCGCGTCTAGCGGATCCCAAGATCCGACGCCCGAGATCGTTCGGCCTGGTCCTCCGGAGCCGTCGCTGATCACAAAGAGAAAAGGCCCGATGCGGGTTCGGGTCTTCGATATTAAATATATATAAAATCTGAGTTAAATATATAAAAAATCTGAGTTAAATATTTAAAAAAGAACTTTGATAGACCAAAATTCACTGTCAATTACCCAACTAATGAAGAATGTTAATAGAAATCCAACCAAGTTTTTTTAGTCCTTTCATCAATGAACCTCTTACTGACAAGTACAAAAATTTTGAAGTAGTGTTATCTCAAGATCTCTTGGTAGCTTCATAATAGAATGAAATATCATCAACATACATCATTTGCACCATAAATCACCTTATCACCTAACAAGAACTTGGAAGCCTTGTAATGATGTTGCTAATCCAAAGGGGAAGACATAAACACATAAATCCATTCACATACTTACACGCACTCTTTTGATGTGTCAATGCATTTACACTTGATTCAGATGATGAATCCTCTATAATAGTTTGCTACCAGAAAAATAAAACATCTAATATAAAAATGCTCCATGCTACTATTGTATGCAAGATAATACATTTTCATCTCCCTAAACAAACTCTGAAAAATGCAGAGGTTACAAATAATAGTTTTGCACCAATTACACCCATGGAGATGAGGACCAAAAAAGCATCTCATACTGCTCAACAAAGTTTCACATGAGTAAAATAATAGATGACAAATTACAGAACATCTAATATAAAAAGAGAGTACCAACAGTTAACAGCTAAAGATTTGAGTTTGTGCTCCAGTGCATCTGCTAATATTTAAATCCTTTGCCCTTCATGCACTTGAAGGAAATTGAGGCACAGAAACTGACAATAATAACTCTACGAGAATTGAATATATAAAATAATGGACATGAGAAACAAGGCAATTAGCTCGAAATAAGGGTCAGATGAGAAACAGGAAAAGTTGCTGCAAACTGGAAAGTATTTCATAACCGTCTTTGCCAAATACTTAAGATAACTATAAGAACCAAAGTTGCGCTGCACTATTGTCTATTGAATTTATAAAAGTTAGCCTGTAAATGTTCTCAACCACCTTTTCTTTCTTATTTTAGTATATACATATAATTTTTCTGATAAATATGTGAAATTAAAGAATATTTGCAAATGCAGAATCAATTTACAAAATTAAAGCATCCATTATGACCTTTTTTTACTACAAAAAAGATCTGTGTTGAAACTGCAGAATTTGTATTGCCAGGATTTCCTAATTTATCAGCTAGCTGACTCTTAAAGCTTCTTTAGACATTCATTTGTCATAATGTCATGCCACCTTGGTTCATTGATTCTGCTTTCACCGTCTTAGTTAGGGATGACAACTTATTTTCTCCATGGTGAAAGTCATTTTGATGCATTGCGCGCCAAACAATCTCATTCCTTCTCAGCGATAACAACAAAAACATCTTCAGCTGACCACTTATGTCGCACATTTTTATCTGGTGGATTAATGATTGCTCGTTCTGAATTTGCAAGGCGATAACCAATGACAATCTCTTTCCTCTGTCGGGCCCGTAGAATTATTTCAAAGAAATTCATTTCTTCCTCTTCACGAACATAAAGATCAGCAGAACGAATTTGCATTTCATTACCCTGATACAGAATTAATTAATTGCTCAAACCATAGTTAAACCAATGCAAGAATTAACAACTTAACAATCACAATTAATGAAAAGTTAAGCTTCTCTAAAATTTGAAATTACCTATTCAGGTGATATAACTTCATGAAGCATTACAAAAACTGATCAAAGTAAAATGATACTTTAGAACATAATTCGTCTTACTGATCCATATCGATGTACTGACCAACTATCGGTACGATACGTACCGAGCGTACTAACACATGGTACATGGGGGGTTTATCGATATACCACCTGTACTAATCCCTTGTCAGGCTAGTATGTACTGCTTGTACCGAGCGGTATGCCGTGATATAATGAACCTTACTTCAGAATATATCTCTAGCCATCATGTGAGCTTAAGCATTTTTAGTCCCCCCAATTATATTCAAGCTTATCTATATGCACAGATATGCTAATGTATGGGTGCATGTGTCAACACAAAAAGAACTAGGAATGCACCAACAAGAGATCATAATGTCCCGACTCCCAACCATTTGGAATTAGCTACATGGATCTATACCCAACCTTGAGCTCTGTAAATAAGGGAATATCCTTTTGTTAAATAAACAACAATCATATTTTTTATAGTTATATAGTTTCCCCTTGTCTATTTAGAGCATCTATCCATTTCATTTAAACATGTGTATATTGTTATAAACAATTTTCTCCATTTTGTAGCCTATCAAGGCAATACCTAATTGTTTGCAAATAAGAAATTGATTCTTTTTTCATAATCCCATGAATCAACCTCAACATTATCATAATGGCTAAACAAATTTTTTGTCATCTATCTTATAAAATCTCAACGCCACATCTCAACCTTAATCACTCTGCTTTTACTTAACAAACAATATCTACATCAATCATAAATCCAAATTACCCAAAACTTCTACTTCAAAGAATTTTTACCATCCATATGAACTACACCCTCACTTCTCTTTGAATTACTAATATCGCATTTCATTAATTCAGTCTTATTTTCCACCTAGTCTAAACCTTCAGTTTTAAATGTTTATATTTATGACTCAAGAACATAAATATAACAGATGAGGTTAAGTAAGCAAAATAAGAACTAATAGCTCCATCAAAACAATTAGTTTGATGGCCTATAAATTAACAACGATTTCACGTACGAGCTAGACAACATTTAATCAAGAGCACTGATGAGTTACAAGATTATGACCTTGTGTGGTTTGAGTATTAATATCAACAAAATAAAATGACTTGAAATGAGAATAAGGTAAAAGTACTAACTTATGCTATCGTTTGGATATTGCTATCTGACCAAAATAGCCCTATGCTAGCTACATACTTTTTTCAAGCAACTAGTAAAGTGTGAATAAAAATCTAGTAATCCTACCTTTTAAACTGAATAGATTATTTCTTTAACTGTACTTTCTGGTTATGTAATAGTAACTCTGGTAAGTGGTGAGTGTTTCAGAACTTCTGCTGATATAATTCCTTATTTAATAACACTTATACAAATGGAGCTTATTTCAGGACCAGATTGAGGATACTCAATTGCAGACAACTTTAACAGAACCAATTTTACTTATAAGCTGAGATCTTCACAAAAAGAAACCAATATTGTCTCACTTCTAGAACTTAAAAGTTCAAAATAATTGTACCTCTTCAGCAAAAAGTTCTTCCAGCACATCATTTATTTGGCGGTCTTCTGCGACCATTGCCAGTGCCATGCTCACCAGTTCATTTGACAAAACATAATCACTTATCTTCGACACGGACAGTAGATTCTTGGTCCTAGGATCAAGGATTTCACTAATAATGACAGATTTATTCGATGCTTGCTGCATATCACCAATCCAAGTACCATGAGAGAAGCTTCCTCTTGAAACATGAGAGGCTATGGCTTCTTTATAAGGAAGCCGCTTTGCCTAGAGATAACAATGCAAAGATAAGAAGGCTAATGACTGAAAACTACAGACAATTCCTGCCAAAAACTAAATGAAATTTCAATCCTCAACCTGAATATCTCTGATTAAAAGTAATGTTGCAAGAGATCTTGAATCAGCTTGTATTGCTGAGTCTTCTACTGATTCATCAGCCAAAATCAAGATCTGTAAAATATGTCAAAATTGAGATTGATGCAATAGTTTAGCTTTCATCAATGTAAGATCCTTCGTGCTCTAATTATAATCTTATAAAGCACAAAAAAGAAAACAAGTTAGCATTTCAATTTAACTTACAGAATCAAATGATTCCAGCGGAAGGCTCTCTAAGTGACGTCGAATGACAGCGTTTCCTTCACGGTTGACCAGAGATATATTCTCCAATCGATTGAAATCCAGACCACCATCTATAAGCTTTTTCTCCCTCTCGTTCTCAGGAACATCATTGAACATCCACAACTCTGATCCGAGTGCTAGAAAAGCATCCAACACCTGTAGGTATTTTCAAAACTATATTAACACCAAAATTTGCTGCAAGTAAGACCTTCTGGAGCCTGCCAAAATCTCTAGTTGACAAAGAACATTTATACACTGAGCTCTGTCCCGACAAGACTAAGAATGACATAAAGTAAATATTATTCTTCAAAATAAATTACCAATAATAATAATAGAACACAGTAGCTAAATGCAAGACTATTTTACTTGTGATATAACCAAAGCTAGTATGTCAACTACAGATAACCTAGCAATGAAAACACTTAAAACTGCAGTTTAATCATAATTGGAGATTTAACTGCTAAAGAGTAAATAGAACAATGATTGAAAAAGTTAAGACAAAACTATGCGCAAAAGGGTCACCAGAACAAACTAGCTAGGTGATCAAGCTAATGGTTGTAATTTTGTTTCAAACAGCATTTTGAGTGTTGCTAGTAATGACACAATTTATTATTTTGAAAAGAAAACAATATATGGAAATAGATATTATAACATAAAATATGGAAAAAAACTATCTCTCAGCAAAACCATGTTAGTTTTAAACTTAAACCACAAATGGAATCAAAGGTCTACCAGCAAATGATATTCACCCCAGAAATCTGTGAAGAAGTTCTCAAAAGCTAGAAAAAGAATACACATCTGCATACTAATGCATACATTTGTACAGAGTAGTACTTAAATAATGCATACATATACATAAATGCATATCACATCTAGAAACAGAGGTATTAGCAAGCTGTACAGAGTCGGGGCAAGTTCAAATAGTTCTTAGTTCTACCAAATTCTTGTGGTAGCTGTGACTTGACTGTCTATAGAAGATAATGAACAAGGTAATCAAAAGAAAAAGGTCAATTTTTTTGTTTCTGTCGCTGATATTTGAAACCTGTATGGAATACCAGCCATTTTATGAACAATTATATTTATGAATCCCCTTTACTTCAAACGTGACATAGAAAGTCATGTATCTTTACATCAGAAGCTACATCAATGTAAGCAAAAAGATTACAAAAAGCACATCTAGGACAGGAAAGCATGAAAAAGGTCTGCAACCAGCATAAAATGATCTTTAATAAGAAAGGACTGTTTCCAGCGACATCTGCATTAATTTGTTATATTGGACTATTGATACGATGAGGGTCAGTTCAAATATATCCAAATTAGCAGCAGTCAGCAAATTTAAGAAAATAATTTCGTAACTACCAAAAACTTCTAACGATAGGGTGATTAGCTCACAGAGAAATATGAAAGGAGGATTAAAAACATAATTTGGAGCAGGTCAGTTGGGTTTATTTTCCACACATAATATGTTTTCTCCTTAAGATAAATAAGTAAAGAAAATATGAAATCTGATATGCAACACAATGTCGAAGCTTATTTAAATGGATGTAGTGAGAATCCGATATGCAACACAACATAGAAGAGCTTATTCAAACAAACATGATCAACTAAGTGCAAATATCTGTAACAGTGCATGACACTAACTGAAAAAATGTTTGACCATAAGAAACCAAATTTTCTAGAGGAATCTGCAAAATACAACAGATATGTTAAATCCCTTGTAGAAATTCTAGAAATAGCCATCTAGTTAAACAATATTACTTCAGCCAGAGTTGGTACAGTTAAAAGTTGAAACAATGTGAATACTTACTCTGTTCCATAACTGCCAATATTATCTTGTTTGGAAAATCAAATAAGTACACTTTTATTCTGTGATTGCTACACAAGGTTCCCTCAAAAGTCAAAATTCTAAAATAAACTACCTGAGGTACCTATAAACCACATGCTTGTCCACATAATGGTTGAAATATCATTTTTGATTCCTTGTAATTTACCATAATCATGTCTTCTATATCTCGCCGCCAACCACAAAACAGTATTCTTTCTGGAGACTTTGGCACAATGAAGTCTTTGGGTAGATATCCTCTCCGAACCTGCATGAGTAATAGAAAAAGAGAAGATTATGGCTCCGAAGAATAAACTTACCACTATCATATCATCTATATTTTGTCACCAGCCACATGGTAGTATCTTCTGTGGCTTTTTATAAGACCAGATAATGTCTATGTACACTGCCTCTTTGATCAGAATTTATGAGAGTTCTTACTTCTTATTGTGTTTCCTTCAAGGCAGTTAAACTTTCTGCTGTGTTAAACTGACATATGAGATTCCTGAACACCTTTATCTAGACAAGTCTACTGAATCCTTTTCCTGTCTTATTTGAGTTAACTGTACATCTCATGCTGCAACATTTTGTAGAACAGTGTACTAGATCTTACAAAGAATTAAAAAATATTAAAAGGTTATTTTTATTTTTTTTGCTGTTTGCAACTTTATATGCCCGCTAAAAAATTTTCAGTTAGTCTGATAAAAACATGATGTTCCTTTCTTTTTTCTCTGTAAGTATAGTAATTTGCCTTCGGTCGCAATACGTCACAAAAAGAATGCACTACAAAATCTCATCATTGTATACACTCAGCTATAGATAAGATACACATCAACTAGTGAGAAACAACATGGAAACTCAACTGCTTGCACAAGTTTAGCTCTAAACAATGCTGAAGAAGAAAAACACTGTTGTGAATTAATAGACGAATATGGGAAATGAAGCAGAACAAGGCGCTTGGACAATTTGCCTTGAGGAAAATACACTGTAACTTCCTGTTGTGACATGGCCACATCTCTAGAAATCTTCTAAATCATAAAAGCTGTCCAGTGAAAAATTTTATAAGTATTCCAAACAAATAATAGATATAAACAAGAGAAGGAATTCACCATAGGTAGTTCTGCTGGGGTATAGGTGTCATCATCCTCTGCAATTACAAGGACTTCATCACCCTCCTGCAGAATGTATGAATCATCGGGGTTCAATATGATTTTTCCACCACAAGATGCCATTTTTATTCCACAGGGTATAGCATCAGGAAAACTGATAAGTACATCTTCAAATTGCATCCCATCCAACTGAGGCCATCTTTTGATGTAAAACTCACAATTTTCAAACCCAAGGATATCTTCCCAGATCTGTCCAAACCCAATAAACTCTAAGCACAAGGATTAATCGCAAGTTCACAACTGAAACATCAAAAAAGGAAAGTGATAGGAATAAACTATCACTTTATACCACTCGACATAAATTTTTTTAGCAGTACCATGCTCCTGGAGAATGGAAGGGATAGAACAGGATCCAAAAATGAAGGTAGGTGGAGTCCTATATGTACAGAAAACTAGGGTCCACGTCAGCACAAAGGTTTACTTTGAAAAGAAGAAAAAAGAATATGTTTTGTTATATCTCTTGGAAAAATTGCAGAGAGAAAATAAAGGACCATACCCAGTGCACGAGGCTCCCGCTAATGCGGGGTCTGGGGATGGAAATTTCTAACTGTCTATAGTCTATACTAGAGCACATAATATCCAGCATCAAGCACGACACATATGTACAAGGGTAAAGACAATATTTAAATTCAGGCAGAGCAAATTGCTAAATACCAGTTGAAGGATCACATGACCTTGATTTAAAGCAGCAGTCATAGCCTATACTGATTAAAACGATCACTACAAAGTAACTGGAGAAGGATGCATTGCATGACAGTTAAATAAGACTTGACAGTTCTAGCTAAACAGCAAGAATAGGTATCCAGAATAATATCTATTTGTGTCAGTATGATTGGAATGAAATTGAAAATGAAAGCATTGTGAACATAATTTATAGCATCATACAACTCTTAAAAAGACAATGATAAACATCCATTTCAGTTGGATTATTGCTCAAGCATGAGCATCAGAGGTTCCCGTAAGTAACAAAAAACTAAATGAAAAAAATCAAGCCACGAAGGAAAACAAAAAGAAAAGCATGATTCACAACTAACCTGTGCAAGACCAGGCTGGCGAGCACATTGAATCATTAAGCGGCCAATTACATCATGAGCAACAACAGTTTCAACAAGGTCACCACCAACAAGTTTAACAAGGACTTCATTATCTAGATCACTGAGTTCAACCACTATATGACCTCTTAACCCTTCTTTGACTCCAGTTAAGCTTAATACCGTCCGTAATGCTCGTGCATCACTCTGCAGTTAAAGACATTCAATAATTTGTCCTATAAAGTATGACAACTCAAACAACTGATAAATGTTACCTGATCAGCATTCCCATCTTCAGCTAGGACTACAACCGCACGGGCCTTAGAAACAGAAACCTGCAAACAGATTTAAAAGAAAGCAAGCAAGTAAATATAGCAGAATAACAGAAAGCAATAGTCGCCAACTAGCCATGTCCAAGTACTATTACAAAACATGACAAAGAAAAGTAACTCGAGAGAAGATAAAGTTTGATGACTAAGATCCTCTAGGAAAGATGTATTGTGAGAATTCAAGTGGACCTTTTTCAAGTCAGCAAGAATCAAAGGACTCCCACTTCTGCAAATGACTGATGTTCCCTTAAAGTCAAATTCCATTTTTGCAATATCTAGTTCCATTTCCTCTTTGTCCCTCTCAGCCATCACTACCACGGTGCCACCACCCAAACTCTTGTTGGCTATAGCCAGTTGATTCAATAGGGAACCCTGTAGCCAAAACTAAATTGTTTCACTAATGGAATAGCAAAAATTGCAGATATATACATATAATACACAATAAGTTAGTAGTATTTGCTGCCCAAATACAAGAAAAATAAGACAGCACAATATCCCTGCTTATTAAGCTTGAAACCTCTGATGTCAATAATGACATTAGGACCATGATTCTTGATGGGTAAGTTTCAACTCGTCTACAACAACCACATGGGCAAAATCTCAACATAGAATTAATTCAGAAATGTCTTATGTAAATTATGAAGTAGGTGGTTCACTATATTAATCACATGAATAACTTCAGCTGAGGTTACATCAATAGGACGACTAGATTAAAAAATTTGAATTACATTTGGAGAATAGTTTACTTCCTGATAAAGGAAAGGGTGGCTCTCATCGATAAGGAAACAAATAATAACGCAAAAAGTTTTACAATAGCAGGAAGGCATAATCCACATCTAAAGACATAAGTTCTACCTTCTAGATAAATGAGTAACTTTTACGAGTGTACCGCATGATTCCTAATGACTGTTGATCAATGAATAAAATAGAAGCTGTCACACCAGTCCAATTGAATTTCTGTATGACTACAGTATCACTCGCACGTACATTTTTTTTGGAGTGTCTAATGGTAGTATAATTGCAATTCAGTGGTTCAATTAGTCCCACAATATGATCCCCACCTACCTCAAAATAGCAATCTTTGAAGTGCTCCTTATTGAAGGTTTAGCTCATATGGTTTTCAGGCTCGAGTTATGACATATATGGTATCAGAGTGACCATCGCTCGTGGCTTGTGAGCCACATAGAGATATACTATACACCCCAATGAATCTCTAATCCAATAGAGATGAACACCAGGTATAACGGCAGCAGCATGGCGGGCCACATTGCCTTCAAACCCCACTTCACCTACATGAATTGTGGTGGTCCATGTGATAGTGTGTCTAAAATTCTGGATTCAGTGAGATAAAGAAAATGACCAAAAAAAATAGAGGCAACTAAACTCCATGAAGAACCAAATGGAATGTGTCATCGTTTTCTACAAAATATGAAGGCTCTTCTGCAAGAATAGTAAATTCTTCTATGCATTGGGAGGTTTAAAAATTTTGAACAAGGATATTAGCTAGGTTGTAAAAGAAGACGATGGGGGTCAATCAAAATCAAATCTAAGAAGCTGAAAAACTCGATCCAATTTAAAGCCAATAATCCAACAGTTAAATTCATATATGATCTGATTAATAATCATACCTCTAACAAGGAAACCCAGTCTAACCTAACTAAATCCCAACATACATCGGACCAGATCGCTACCATAAAATCAAGATATAAAACTATTTGTGCATACAATTTTATATTGTTATTATAGTATAAATATATAAACATTAAATTAAAGCAATGATTGAAATTTCGTACCATACCAAAGTTTTGAGATTCGCTCGGTATGGTACGATACTATATACCAAGTGGTACATTTCGATATACCACTCAGTATATATATATATATATGTATATATATATATATGTATATGTATATATGTATATATATATATATGTATATGTATATATGTATATATATACATATACATGTATATGTATATATGTATACATATACATATGTACATATGTATGTACATATGCACATACATATATACATATATACATATATACATATATACATATATACATATATACGAAGGCGACGTCGCCTTCGTTTTTCTGCCCGTGTGGGGTTTCTTCTCCCAATGCGCCCTTTTTTTTACTTATATATATATATATATATATATATATATATATATATATATACATATATATATGTATACATATATACACATATATATACATATATACACATATACATATATATATGTATACATATATACACATATACATATATATATATATATATATATATATATATATGTATATATATATATGTATACATATACATACACACACACACACACACACATATATAAGTAAAAAAAAAAGGGCGCGTTGGGGGAAGAAATCCCCCACCCCATATATATATGTGTGTGTGTGTGTGTGTGTGTGTGTGTGTGTATACATATGTATATGTATATATATATATGTAAGTAAAAAAAATGTTTTCTGCGACGTCGCCTCTCTTTTCCCCACGACGCCGACGATTCTTCTCCCTGCGCAAATGAGGAGAAGTCGTCGACAGACGAGGGCGGAGAGCAGCGCCAATCTCTAGGTTCTCCTCTTCTTCTCCATTTTCTTTCTTCTCTCGGTTAATACCACCCTTCTCCCTCTTCTTTCTTCTTCCTCAGTCACCGCTCGATTTAGGATGGTAACGGAGTGGAAACAGCCCCAATCGACGGTACCACCCGGTAGCGGCCGGTCTGCTGGCAGACCGGTACACACCGTCCGATACGAGCGGTATTATTCGAAATTAAAATCTTTGGGTTAAAGTTCCATCTATATTTTATTTTATTACCAAGAATATATTCTGAGTAGGTAATGATAGAATCGTTGGATTAGAATCATAACCCTTACCTAGAATACATCTAATTGGCTCTCGAGCCAGCATCAGAGTAGGCATCATAAAACCAATTCAAATGGCTGTTTTACGAATTATGTTTCTGATTCCTAGCAAGCATGATAAATTGGCTATTTACTTGATAATGTCATCCATGATAGCAATAATGACAGTTTTGCTATCAGATTATTCTAAAAGGGTTGATATCAACCATATAGAAATTACTTAAAGCTGAATTTACTAAAGTCAACTAAATGAACAAGATGTCTATCAGAAAATGACTCCAAGGACTTTGTGTGTCACCAAAGCCTTGGATAAAAAGAACCTGAGCAAATACTGACACTAATGTTTTGAAATTAAAAACGCATAAATATGTTAATCTGTATTCTCATTCAAGGCTAGACTGAGGTCACTGTTACCCACCTTCAAACACACAAAACCAAACAATTTTCACAACCAAATGAGACTGATGGTTGAGATTTAGAGAATTACACATGCCAATTAGCAAGAAAATAAAGGATATGTACAATTCAATGAAAATATAAGGAGTGGGATGCAGTTTACCAACTTGTCACTCCAACCAAGTACCAGCGTATGATTTTCCTCTATCACTTCACTTCGGCCTTTTCTCAATGAGTCAAACTTCTCTGAGATAGCATCAGAGACGAGCCCAAGCATCATGGCAAATATAAGCATTCCACCAAAACTTATAGAAAGTGAAACTAACTTGGGACCAAAGCCAACTGAATTGGCATGATTCCCTGAATCAGCTATGTAAGTCCACGACAACCACAGACAATCTGCCAAGGTATCATCTGTCACTCCATAAAGTGACAATCCACCAAGGCCTATCAACAGCAAAGTTGCAAGAAGTAGAACCAATGGCTTAGCGTAGGGATAGACTGATAAAAATACATCAACACGGTATGCTAACTGCTTGCTGAGAGAAACTGCTTCAGAATCCGTTGATCTTCTTAATTTTGACACATAATCAATGTACTTGAAAGCAATAAATGGAATGGAGAGTATTGCAACTGAAGCAAATAGTGCAGAACTTTTATGGCTTCTACTTAGTATCTTATCACTCTCTTCTGATATAATATTTGCTAGAACCAATGGAGCAGACACACCACATGCTCGAACTCTAGAATCAAGAATAAACAGCTGATCCTGAAAAATAAAATGAATTAAAACTATAAAAACAAAGAAACCATATTACATAATGGATGGATAAACAATGCATCTACGATTGTACTGGACCATTAGAAACTCTTATTTATATTCTATATGAAAACTAAGCCTAAAGAAAAGGCGTATCCAATGCATGAGACTATCATCAATGCAGGGTTTGAGGAGGGTCAATGGACACAGACTTCCTTCTAAATATAGAGATTAGAGAGTTTGTTTATGTGACCCGAATCCTGATCTCTACCTCTAAATATAGTGTTGCAAAGATGATGTTATTGAGACATGTTCTATTGCTAGCGATAAAATATGAAATGTTTGAAATAACCAAAAATTAAGTATTAACTAAGCATAAATCAACAAAACCATGTAAGATTATTTAAACATGTTAACAAATCTTACAAATGTGCTGATAAAGCTAGGTCAGCTAATACTTACTACAATTAAAGTCATGAGAGATAGATGAAGACCAATGATAGACTTACTAAAAAAAATTAAAAAATTGTGTTCCTCAAGTAAATAAAAATATTTTTATTAAAGGAGCTGAATGGAAGCAAGGATCCACACAGCGGCAAAAAGTTGAAAATGAATGCAGAAAGATCCTATGCTAATATAAACAAATTACGACATAAATCCTCCATGCCGTGTATATGCAAGTTACAATGGCAACCAACTAAATTCCATAAACAAATATGAATGTTCATGCTTGCTAACCTGTAAAAGTAAAACTTCATTGTATAGTAAAAAGTTCTTGCGAATAAGGGAGCATAAGATTGTGATAACAACCTGCAAGCACCAATTTGAATGTTAAACAACAAGTATACAATTTGCAAATGCTACGGCAAATAAGTCATTGCACTCAGTCTGTACTTTTGGATTAAGTGTCCAATAGATGGATTTCTTAAACAACAAGATAAGCAAATTTGTATATATCTATTTCAAATACTAATAAAAGGTTATGTAATTTTCAGTCAATTTGTATGTTCGGAGTTATGGTTAACGACAATATACTAGACCAATCGCCCATGAAATTCTGTTCCCGTGCTCACATGTTAATTTAATAATTCCGTTCCCCCATTACCTCCTTCCAACAACCTCCTCCCAACAGAAAGGGAAAAGAAAGAAGATGGCATGTGTACGCACGGTGGTGGAGGAAGCTTTTCTCAAGCAGTAACTCAGTCCAAGGTTAACTGCCGAAGTAATACCAGGTTTTAGCTTTTGTCCAATCCCACTGCATTTGAAATAAAGTAGTCTTTGCAGAATTCTTCCTTATTACCTTTCTGCTTTTGTTTTAAGTTCCCTCCACAATAGGATAATCGGCGAATATAGACAACAGTTAGGACTTTTCACATCGATGCCAGCTGAACACCAGTTGGTGAGAACACTAGCCTATTTAATTCGTTTTAGCTAATGCCATGGTTTCTTGGTGATTCATTGAGTATTTTTTCTGTCTACTGATGATGAGCAGAGGAAGCCAAGAAAATACAACAGTAGGTTGCCTGTCACACCATGACAAGAAGCTTTCATCTTCCTTTCGGCAGGTCACGGCTTCTGTTAAAAGTCCCTGTATTCAAAAGAGACAATTCAAGGAGGCCTTGAGGTGAGACCGTATCCTCTCATGGTATCCACTAAATTTGTGTCCTTTTCATATCAAGTCATCTTAACAAAAGATGTGACGGAGAACTTAATTTTACCAAATCCCAAAAATCGAACGAAAAGAAACAGCTTACCGATTAACTATTTATTGCCTAAGTATTACAGTAGATTTAAAGATATCGACAAGTAACCAAGGAAATCAACCAACCGCGACGAAAACCGACAAGGACCAGCGGCTCTTGATCCGACCACCGGGAGAACCCGCGCCGCTATCAGTAATCGCCGCCGTTCTGAGACCCGGAGCGGCTTTCCGCCCCTCCATTCTCGCCGCGTCTTTGGCCCTCGGCGCATCGAAGCAGACCTTCCGGCGGATCCCGGCGTACCTGGAGTCCCCGCGTGCGACAAAGGATTGCAGCGGCGACGGCGACGACGACGAAGGGGCGGACGAAGAACCAGACGACGAGGGGAAACTTCTCGTGGTCATCGACGGCCTGGATCGACCGAGATAGGGTTTGGGGTTCCTTCGGGTGGACGGAAATAGCGGGGGCCGCCTAGGGTTTACGGGTTTGGACGAGGAGGATGAGGAGGAGGCGGCGGTGTGGAGAAAGGGGGCGGCGGACGGGAAGAACCAGTCGCGGTGGATGAGCGGCGGGGGTGGCGCCGCCTCCCCGTCGACGGACATCTTCGTAACCGACCCTATCGGAGGGGCATTATCGGAGTTTACGCTACATATGTTTCTGTGTACTGTAATTGTCTGATATAAGCAGACCAATGGACTGATAAGAGTAATAAAGCGTGTTTTAGGTACTCAAATTATTAATATTTTTTATTTGATAATAATAATAATCAACATTGATGATTAGTATTTTAAATTAATAGTAAAAAATCTTCTAAAATAATTTTTATTTTAAGAAAATTCTCCTTCTCATTATAAAAATATTCTTTTATCTCACATGAGATTTAGTTTTCTTTTGTAAATACTAAATGAGATTGGATTAGGATTTGCAAATAATTTTGACACTAACAATGTTTAATAATGGGATAAGCTTAAGTTTTATTCAGATAACTGACATGGTTTTAATTATTAGTATGATAAATTCCCACATGAACCCTAATTAAGCATCACACCAATAGGAGCAGCTGCACTGGTGGATGTTCTCCGGGGGACAATAGCCACCTCCATGATCGTAATTGTTGCTACAGAATTTGTTGCACCGCTCCGGTGAGCATTCGGCCCTCGAGAACATGTCTTTCCTGCATGTCTTCTTCTTCTTCTCTCCCTCTTGTCCTGATTTCCATTAAATTTAAATTATAAGTCTTAAGTGACAGTAAATCCAACGATGAAAACCCATTATCTAACTATAACATTAAGTAAAATCACAGTATACGATCGAGATAAAAAGATAATGGTTATTTATCTACGATCAATTATACTTGTTCGATCGACCATTATCGATATACATGCAATGTTACAAAAATAAAATATTTTGATTCGATCAATAGGAGGGACAGGCAAAAAACAAAATATCAATTAGTGAGTTGGAATAATTAATATAAAATTATAAAAGAATATCGAAGAAAAAATGATAAGGTCAATTCATAGTAGACATATTTTTCGTAGATAATATAAAATTATCTATAAAATAAATCTCAAGTTATAAAAAAATCACAACCGTCAGGGTTTACCCGTTATTAGATTACAATAATCGATGTCTCAACATAAAAACATTATAATGATGACAAAAAATATTTGATAATATAAATGTTTAAAAAATGAATAAAAAATTATTAAAGATAACATAACTGTCATATAAAATATAAAAAAAAAAAGTGTGTCGATATATTATCATAGCATGAAATTTCACGTTAATATAATATGTAACAACAATAAGTAACATAAATATATCAAAACGGAAAACAAATGACAAAAATATAAAAATTAGTATTGTGAATTCTTCGTCTTGTAGAGATTTGATCATATAATCGTAGAGAAACGATAAATGATCAAACAAGATATAAAGAACATCATAATATATATATGTGACGAAGTTGAAGATGATAAGAGGAACGAGGAGAAGAGAACCTTCGGTGATATGAAGAAGGAGGAGAGCGATGAACAAGAACACCCAAATCGACTTCATTTCCTTTTCCTCGGATCGACAATTTAGAGAGATCCTAATTCTTTTTGGTGCTCACAACAATCTATCATGGAAATTTATAGAGATCCATACTCGAGCCTTAGCGTTTATTTCCTTATAAACGTAACAATTAAATAGCACATTGATGAGAAGATATTATTACTTCATTGTTTCCCATAACAAAGTAAAGGAATATGGAAGGTTTTATATATCGACAAATTCATATATCAAACATTCTTATTATTTTTATATATCAACAAAGATATTTGTTTTATTATATTTGTTTTATTATATTTGTTATATTCATTGTGTTATGTCAAATACTAATCCAAGACACAATTTGGAGATATTATTCCATGTTTATCTACCCAATCGATTACATCCCATACAAAGAAACTCCAATGAAATTAAAATACCAAAAAAAAGAGTCACATATCCCAAGTCGTTGCCTCTCTCTCTCTCTCTTGTCAAGATATAAATCAAGTCAATTTGATTGCATAAAAATAATTTTGACATTAACAATGTTTAATAACAGGGTAGCTTAAGTTTCATTATTAATACACTACACTCCAACATGAACCCTAATTAAGCATCACACCAATAGAAGCAGCTGCATTCATTGATGTTCTCCGGAGGACAATAGCCAACTCCATGATCGTAACTTTGTGCATACGTCGCTCGAGAACGTGTCTTTCCTGCATGTCTTATTCTTCTCTCCCTTCTCTTGTCCTGACTTCCATTAAATTAAATTATAAATCATAATAAATATTTTTTTTTCTTATTTTTAATAATTTAAATTAAAAATAAATCTTATGTGATAGCAAATCCAACAATGTAAATTATTTATCTACGATTAATTATAGTGCACCATTATCAATATAATTGAATGTCGAGAAAACAAATAACAAATTATATTTCAATCATCAATGTGTCTCAATAGAAATACACTATAATGATGACACATTAAATACACCTCCATGCATTCATATTTGCTTTCTTGTTTGACAAAAATAAAAATAAAAACTATATTTTGAAGTAAATATTAATTTCATGGTAAAAATTAAAATTTACTCTTGAGACCAAATTATGATAGTCGAAATTTATACAAGACTAAGCATATCAAATATTAAAATTATTTAATTATATAAATATTTAAAAGATAAATAAATAATATTTTCCTCGTCCCAAAAATATAAATATTATAATATAAAATTATAATATTTTTCATCATGATCATAAGCGCAATAAAAAAATGAATGATGGGAGAACAAGATATAGATAGAGAACACCATAATATACATGTGATGAAGTACAAGATGGTAAAGGAATGGGGAGAAGAGAACCTTCGCTGTTGTGAAAAAAGATGAGAGCGATGAACAAGAATGCCCAAATCGACTTCATCTTCTATTCGTGCTCACGACAAATCGGATCGAGAATTTAGAGAGTTCCCAATTCTTTTTGGTGCTCACACAACACTCTTATCATAGAAATTAATAGAGATCCGATGGGGTATATAAAGAGCTCCAAACATACTCGAGCCTTAGCTTTTATTTCCTTAAAAGAGTAATAATTATTCTAAAATTGCTTCGTTGTTTCCCATAACAAAGGAAAACAATATGGAAGATTGTAAAAGAGATAATTATTCTGCTTATTTATGAGAAGAAAATTGCTTCATTGTTTAGGAAAACAAAACAAAAGAATGTTGTAGAAGTGGCTTCATTCATATATTGTTTGTTGATCAAAATGCTTGAATATTATATTTTTGAAAAGTTATTAATTTTTTATATATCACCAAAGATACTTTGTTTTATTATATTTGTTATATTCATCGTGTCACATCCCGAAGAAGTAATTTGGATATATTATTCTTTTCATATGTCTGAAACTATCTTAATTCTCAAGTGCCTATCTTCATTCCTATAATGTTTGACGATGAAAATGCTTGAATATTATATTTTCGAAAATTTTCTTAATTTTTAATATATCACCAAACATATTTATTTTATTATATTTGTTATATTAATTATGTTATATCCCATACTAATATAAAATATAATTTGGATATATTATTCTATTAATTTGTCTGAAACTATTTTAATGCAAAAATTCTCTGTCCGGAGTTGCGCTTTGAGTGAATCCTTCACCCTTAAAATGTAAAAATTCTTGTTATACGTCGTCTAAGCACTAATTCTCTACACGAAGTTGCGTATTGAGTGAATGCTTAGTTGAATCATTGGACCATGTCCCTAACTTGGTAAGGCCTGTTCGGAAATATGAGACGACATCACATGAGCAATGAAAGAACAAAAAATAAAATTATCAAATTTTCATAGAAAATAGCTTCTTGTCATTGTGCGAAGATTAGTGTGCAAAAATCCGTAAAATCAAAAAATCACGTATATTAAGGGATATATGTTACCTAAGGAGATTGTATATCTCTGAAATCATGCAAATCCATAAGAGAGGATAAAAGAGGTCAACTATCATCCTCTCTAGTAGTAATCTATGTAACAGGATATATGAAAACGTTTCTCAAATCATTACACAAATATTCTCTTCATGTGCACCACGAGATCAAGAAGGGGCCAACCCTTATTGCTGTCCACATACCCTAAATAGGGGATTGCTGGCCGAGGAGGAAAGGGAGAGAGGAGAATAATAAGTGATAGCAAAAAAATGTCTAGCATATGATTCTTTTGTTCCTTCCTATTTATACAAGTCTATTGTCAACTTAATCTTAATGAGTCATGCCCTATTGGATATTTGATTTCCATCCAACTATCCAAACCTCTTAGATTAGTAGATCTCTATCCAATAATCTTTTATTGGCTCTTATTTATAAGATTCAATAATTCATAGGCTTATTGGATATCCAATAAGATAGAAGCTCCAATAGATATCTTATATCCGAATCTCTACTTGTCGTAACACCTACGATATGTGTGTGATCCTCTAAGCCTAATATTAACCTGACCGTGAGTTATACCTATTAGAATTCTTTCTCGCTCGATGAATTATTATCTCCATAATAATTTATTCGACTCATCAACTACGAATGTACTAGGTCACTACACCGTAGTTCCTAAACAATACAGGAGAATCTAATCCATTAGACCTATATATTCTCAGTAGTCATATATCTATAATCCTTTATTCATGTAATATCTCAGAGATTATATACTAGGTATGGTGCTGTTAAGCCCATATGAAATCTACTTAAATCTTGCTCTAATAGGATTCTCCCGAAAAACTCTTTTCTCTCTCAATATGAATAATCATAGCTAAAGATTTGCCTAAGTAAGAATATATAGGATATTCCTCTTATGACACAGAAAGCGACCGAGTCTTTATCGACACTTAATAGCTCTCGTAACGTTAGTTGGCACTCTCGATGACCAATTATGCTAAATCTGAAATTTATAGTCATATAAGTCTGGAATCAAAGATTATAGTACTCATACAAGACATCCTTAGTATCTCAAGTCTAAGGACTATATATACTACTGGGATGATGGAATCATTATCTGAAAATAAGGTATCATAAACCATCCTGTATTCTGTGAGCGGATCGATTAGTCAACTCATTCTCTAATTAGCACATGTACTATATCTTTAGTATCTCCACACGAGCAACTATGAGACTAGTTGCCTCCATCATATAGATGTGTATACAATATACCAATCTATTCAGTTATCTCGATGTCCCTCTCGAGTAACTTATGACCGAGATTATTTAGGGTCTATATTTAAAGGCAAATCGATCTTATTGTCATAATTTCATCAAGATCTGATTCTCATTGCATATATCAATACAAATTATAATATATGTAACATGTAATATAAAGTAAAATAAATAAATAAATAATATGTACTATGCCCGGTATATAGTCTATAAGATATTAGATTGATGAGAGACTATAGATACATGACAATTGAGGACAGACATGTTCAATGAATTGAATTCTCCTGTATCATCTTGAGATTATAACATAGTGATATAGTACATTCGTAGTCGATAAGTTAAGTGAAAGATAATAATTCACTGAGTTAGAAGGAGTTTTGATAGGTATGACTCATGGTCAACTCGATATTAGGCCTATAGGGTCACACGTGTTATAATGAGTAGATATTCGAATATGAGATATTCGTTGGATCTACTATCTTATTAAATATCTAAGAAGCATTTGAATTATTGGATCTTATGGATAAGATCTAATAAGAGCCAATGAAAGTTTATTGGGTAGAGATCCGCTAATCTAAAATGCTTAGGTAATTGGAGGAATATTCAGTACCCAATAGTGTAAGATCCATCAGGGTTAAGTTGATATGAGACATCTATAAATATGAGGGAACCAAAGGGCCATAGGCTAGACTCCTTTTGACTGTCACATTCTATTCTCATCTTCCCCTCTCCTCCTCAACCAACAGCCCCTATTTGGGGTGTGTGAACAGTAAGAAGGGTCACCCCCTTCTTGATTGTGTGAACAGCAAGAAGGGTCACCCCCTTCTTAATTGCATGGTACGCACAATGAGAACATTTGAGCAGCAATTTAAGGAGCGTCTTCGTAGCCCTTGCTGTGTGGATCACCACTTGAGAGGAGGATAGTTAACCTCCTTTATCTTCTCTCATAGATTTGTAAGTTTTCAAGAATATACGATCTCCCTAGGTAACACATCTTTCTTATATGCGTAGTTTTCAGTTTCGCGGGTTTTTGCAAACTAATCTTCTCACGACGACGAGAGACTTTTTTTGTGAAAATCTAAGATTTTTTGTTTCTATTTTTCTGCTATGCATGTGATGTCGTCTCAAGTTTCCCAATAGATGCATCATCTATTAGGGTAGGAGTATGCATGAAATGAATAAGGGATGTGGATTAACGTCAGGTGCTTGAAGAGTCGGGTCACGCTGACCAAAATTAATGCTCTTTGTAGTTAAGTGTGTGACCCCTTCCGAGATCATTGTCGAGGGCGACGGATCATTGGTGATCGACGGTATGATCGAGGGGAAGTTGAGAGAACGAGTCTAGTTACCATATACCGATAGCGTGACTTCTCTAGGGATCAGGTTACGATTGGCGACTGCACGAGAGGACAATTCAAACTCTTATGTGCGTGACGATACTAAGTGATGGCTTATGATTAGGCGATTCAGCAAAGCAACGCTCGTGCCATTGCTTTCTCTATTAAGCCTCATTGGCATTTTTCCAGGGTCAAGACAAGCAAAGGCTAGTAGATCATTTATGTGAGTTGCTTATATCCTTGCTTATGTGGCTTCTTCATCCTAGGTGGCAGGATGAGTTGGCAGTATCGTTATTTTTTCTATCATCAATAAAATCAAGATAGTGAAAAACTAGAAGAGTGACCTACCAAAAAGGCTGTGGTAAAAGATGCTTCATTTCTATAATATTTTTTTAACAAATGCTTGAATATTATATTTTTGAAAACGTTCTTAATTTTTGATATATCACGAAAATATTTGTTTTATTATATTAGTTATATTCATCTAATCAAAGATGCAATTTGATATGCTTCAAATTGTTTAGGGTTGGAATATTCTCCGGCCCTGAAACATAAACCATCCTAAGCATCTAAGGCTTCGAAAACAAACATAACAAAATTATCAAAATAGGTTTTTCAAAAAAAATTTATTGAAGTATAAAACTATGTACCTCATGGTTGACCACTACCATGGTCTAACGATGACACGACTATAATGTCATTTAGGGCCTCTTTAGTTTCAATGATGGCTTCTCTTTTTGCTGTGGTCAGGACATTCTCCTCCGCTTAGTCCTCCTCTCTTATCAAGCCGATTGACTTCTCCACAACTTATTAAGCCTTCACGAATAGCAACCCTTGATTATGATACAATTATATTTAACCATGAATCATGTCTGATCCCTCAACAAACTCGACCATGCATTGCATGGTCAGATTGTCCATCGAGTAAAACATTGTGTTATGGCTTCTCTTGTATGTTAGAACATACTGAGAATATCTGATAAAGGAATGCGATGATACATCATATTGTGACAGATCTCTCGTTCGTCCACACATTAGACTAACACAATGGGAAGAGATGACAAAAGAGTATGATAAGTGAACAACATGATGACATATCATAGTATGACAGATCCCTCGGTCTGACATGTTGGGCTAACAAATTGTCCAACGTCAACATCAATGCAATACCAACCATTGGATAGACTCTCACTCATCTCAACACTTTAGGACCTCCTCATTTAGTTAACATGAGCTAATGCTAGACAACCATAACACACGACTTAATAATATTTGATGATTTTACATAATTATCCCACATATCAACACTCCATCTAGCTCGGATGATAAAGAAATATTATCACTACTTAATGTGTTACAAAGGAATAAAACGAAATCTGGAAGCCCAAAAACTACCGTTACATAATCCGATCCGTTGCCCTCTCTCTCTCTCTCTCTCTCTCTCTCTCTCTCTCTGATTCTAGAAGTGTACAAAAGGAAAACAAAATCAAGAAATAAAATATTACCGTTACTTTCCAAGCCGTTGCCTCTCTCTCTCTCGTCTTCGCCATGGCGATCGTCGACTCCGGGTCGCCTCCGATCGGTCCGGATCCGACGGCCTGCACGGTAATGTTTGGCAAGTCCACATACCTCGGCCGATCCCTCGTCTCCGCCCTCATCAAATCCGGCGGCTGGGCCGTCCGGGTCGCTGACACCCTCCCTCCTCCCTCTCTCGGCCCGATCCAGTCAGACCTGGCCGCCTACTTCCACGTCGATGTCGCCGACCGCTCCAGCCTCAGCTCCGCCGTCGCTGGATCCGCCGTCGTCTTCCTCGTCGATCCCCTCCCGCCGTTCCCCTCGCCGCTGGTGGGCGGGGACTTCCCTCGCCTCCACGCTCTCGCCGTCGTCGGCGCCAAGAACGTCGTCGCCGCATGCCGGGAGGCCGGCGTCCTGCGGCTTGTGTACACCGGGTCGGCTGACGTGGTCTTCGACGGGAAGAACGACATCCGCGACGCCGACGAGTCTTTGCCTTACCCTCATAGGGTTTGTCCCTTTGATCCTTTGGAATTTTCTTGATTTCTTTACTATGTAGGGTTTTGGTGGATCTTTTCTGCGATATTCTACCGTTTAGTGGGGTTTGCTGTTCTTGTGCAGTATGAGGATCCCCTGAATGAACTGAGGATGCAAGTGGAGGTATTGGTGTTGAGTGCTAACGGAAAGGATGGTCTGTTGACTTGTGCTTTGCGGTCGGGCAATATTTTTGGGCCAGGGGATCCACATCTAGTGCCTTTTCTGGTGCAGGAAGCTAGATCCAAAAGAGCTAAGGTTTGGATAGTCCGGATTGTTAATTACTTCTCTCATATTGTAGATTTTTATTTGGTATGAAGATTTTTTGGAATAATTTTTTTAGAATTGAACTGCTAGATTAATATTGTAGGAAAGAAATATGAATTATGTATATCATCACTGGACTGTAGTTGTGCCTCCTTTTATATAACTAATTAAATTGGACATATGTTTCTTTCTTCCTCGATCATGTTTGATCTAACTGAAACAGGCAAATCTTATACCCTCTTGGTAAAAAAATGGCTTTTATAATCTCTCATGTATAGCTGTTCTTATTTTGCATGAAAACTTGGTTTGAGGTAGAATTACACCAAAGTAGTGGGATATGTACCCAATATACATTGACTGAGTGAACACTGATGGAATAGGGCAGCCAGCTGAAACTATCTAGCTACTGAACTCAATTGAAAGGGACTGACCCAAATTTGAATCATGAGTCTATGTTAAAATAAAATATTATATAGAGTATTAATGGTGATTGAAATGCAAACGTTGAACTTTTTTGCATAACCCACCAACCAGGATCAGGAATAAAATTTTGCATCCTTCCGCATCCTTCAATAAAGGTTTGTTCTTTGAAATGTACTCGTCTTTAGATCCACATTCTTTTTTGCCTTTGTTTGTGATTAACTTGATGCTGATAATGGATTTCACAATTTATTTTGATGTCCTATTTGGTAACTCAAGAATGATATGTTCTCTGCTGTCTTATTAATGCTTGGAATTTCCTCTCAGGATGGTTGCTGTGCCATGCAGCACCAACTGGTTACAACTGGAATGCTTTATTTATAACCCAAGACAACACATAAGATGTTAATGGAAATATATTTTTCAACATATTTCTTATTCCAGCTCAAAATATCTTACAAGATTTGAAGATACTTTCCTGTCAATCAGGTTGTTAGGTCATCCATATTGGTGTTAGTCTAAGAATGTCAAAGGATCAGCATATTGAAGCTTTTCCTGATCCTAGTGCAAGTTTAAATGGGTCCTGCTCCATAAGTAACCAAACAAGAATGAGCCTGGTTTATAGTGTTCTTTTATATGTGTTAGTTTTCGGTCTAACTTACTGCCATTAACTGAGCTTGAATTGTGACCAAATTCGAGTCTACTGGTTGGCTTCAATTCAGATTTGAGTCAGTTATAGACTTCTTGCTATAAGTTTTTTCAGTTGGTTGACAGCTTATCAAACTAAGAAGTGGATCTGCAATTGCTTTAACTCCATCTTTCAACATTCCTTATAAGTTGACCTCAAGTTTCATTCTAGCAATTTGCTCCATCAAGCATAGGATGCTCCTTTATATTTTGCTAAGATCTTTAATCTTGTGATTCCTGTCCTACAAAGCAAAACATATGCTAGTAGCTTACAGCTCAATCATTAAACACTTGAGAGTTCATGCCTTCATTGGCAACCAGAAGCCATAACAATTTAGGTACCAAAGGTAACGAAATTATAGGTTTCTATTTGATGCCTAAAATATATGAAAATGGTTGGTAAAGTCTATAGACTGGCCACTAAGCCTAAATTTAAAAGCTAAATCATAGGCAAAATTAACTTATTGATGCTAAATCAAGGTTCGCATTACCAGTTCGTACTAGTGTACCGACCAATCGTCGGTATGGTATGCACCAAGGTGTATCGACATACCATATGTCGATACACTTGGGTGTATCGATGGTATAGTAAAATTACCAAAAATAGCTCCAAAAATATCTAAAAAAATAAAAAATGGATTATGATTTTTAAATTAGAAATAAATATAAATTTAGTATAATTTTAGCTAAACAATCTAAATTAGGAAAGAATATTGATATATCTTTTCTGGGCTTTGTGGAGTAAATTTACGATACGTTCCAGACCTTCATTTCGTTAATATTGAATTATATATAAACAAATGATTTGAATTGTTAAATTATTTTTTAAACAACTTAAACTTTAAGATTCAAATGAATCAAGTAATCAACCGATAGATATACTTGATTCTACCACAAAAAAAAATGATAGGACTTCACGAGCGGTGGATCGGGATCCTTGATCCTATGTATATGTATATCAATTTGATATGTTTGTTAGACCCAATCTTGAAAATGATCCTACGACATAGTATACTGATACATCGTATGCCATTGGTGC